AGGTTGTTCATTCTGCAAAATTAATTGAAGATTTAGCAGTTTCTTTTGACCACATGTTGTCCTTCGGAGGCATTTAGAATGCTTAGTATGCCCTTTGCTGCAGAAATGACAGTTTAGAACAGTGAACTCTGTGGGTTACACTACTCTGTTGCGGACCACCTTTCCAGGAAAGAGCTTGTATATTTACTAAAGATAAAGCCCAAGATCCTGAATGCTTAGTCATCCCCTTTCCATGGGGTATACCGAGTCTTAAGAGAAAGCTTGCTGGAGGATAYCCTAGACTTTGAACTGCAGGACTTGCAAATATCCACCCAGTGTCATTGTGGCAGACAAAACAAAACAAACTCCACTGAAGTTAGTAACTTGTCTAAATATTATAAACATTTTGAAGTGTCTTAYGCTTTTCTTTACCTGTCCCATAGGCTCGTCAGCAGTTCCAGAGCCAGCTTGCTGAGCTAGAAAAGCTTCCTGAGATCCTGAAGATCACAGAGACGCGGCTGGCAGAATGCCAGGACCAGCTTCAGAGTTATGAGAAGAAGAATGCGGACCTGTCTGTCATGATTACAGATCTTCGTCAGCGGGTAAGAGACTGGCAGAAAATACCTGCAGCACAGCCACCTCCGAGTCCGAGATCAACATGAATTTCTAATCACAGGAAGGTTCAGACTTCGTCTCCATTCATGTGTCTCGTTGAAATAATTAAACATGCGCTGCAAAATAACGATGTGTGCCTGTCTTTGTGTCAGATAGCATAGTTAGTAGCACTGWCTGCTATGTAAAAGGTTTCTCATGACTTGGTGTGAAATGTTACTGGAACTTAGATGGCAACACATACAAATACTGACACACATTTCCATTACTTTCATCATCTTGTCATCTTTCCCTCATGCAGTTTTCTGCTGCAAGTGCTGTCCGAACCTTGTTTTTCATCATGATTTCAGTTTTTTTTTTCCAAACCCTGTTCCTTGTCCCTAGAAGGTGTGCAGATGTTGCAGGTATGGCTTCCACTGCTATGCCTCAAGACACAGTGAATGATCCTGCAGCCTGGGTGCTTTACTTTGATTTGCTTGGAGTTACTAATTTTCATAGTATTTCAGGCTCTAATATTTTTGTGGGTTGCTCTCATGCATATGGCTGCTTTTAATCTGTGTGCTTTACTGTTATGCTTACAGGTGACTGCTCTCTATGCAAGCGCTTACAGACCTGGCTGTTCATTAGTGATGTTGAAGAACTGGTCTAGAAATTAACTGGAAGCACCAACAAACTGGACTTTTAGTGCTTTGCTGTTCTATCCACTGTTCCTTTTCCAGGACTTTCCAGAAATCATGAATTGGGCATATTTCTTTCTGGATGGCAGTATGCATTTTAGGTGCTTGGCCATCTGTATGTAGTAAGAATTCTGTAAAGTAATTAATTACTGTAATTTTTAGATTGAGCTCCAGGGGGACAAAATGGAGATGACAAGAGAGAGGTATCAGTCTGCTCAGGAGGAGAATAAGCAGCTCACCTTGAAGGTGGAAGAGCTGGAAAGGTCAGAAATAACAGATACTCTTGTTCTCTTTGCTTTCCCTTTCCATCCTCTTTCCATTTTTTTTTTCCAGGGGATTGAAACAGCTTCAGACCAGTCTTGTTACTCCAGTTCCCCACTTGCCTCTAGGATGCTTGTATATTTACCTATTTCACAATCTCTAATTAGACACTTACCACTGGAAAGCGAGTTGCAGACTTTTGAAGCACTTTTTACTAATGTTGTCGAAAAGGATCAACAGTTAAAGCAAAAAAAGAAAACCCAGCTCCTAGTCCAATCTAGCCTGACAGTTCTGAGGTTATTAAATATTAAGATGCTTTTACCCATGCTTATACATACCTCTTAGTGATGATATCTGGGAAAAGGCAAGTCTGTGAATACTCTGCAAGTCTGTGAATACTCTAAGTCCCTCAACCTTTGAAATACTAATCTGAGAAAGGGAGATGTGTTTCTTGAGACTCTGACCTTTTGAGGGGGAAAAGAATCTATTCACAGACTACTCAGAGACCTAAAAAAAGGGCAAACTGAAAYGCACTTCATTTAAAATGAATAGGCTTCCTTCCCTTATTGTCTTAACCTAGAAAACTACAGACAACGAGTGCCCAGAACATAGAGTTCCTTCAGGTCATAGCAAAACGTGAGGAGTCAATCCACCAGTGTCAGCTGCGGCTAGAGGAGAAGACCCGGGAATGTAGCTCCTTGGCACGTCAGCTGGAGATGGCCATTGAGGATGCCAAAAGACAAGTAAGCAATTCCTTATGTTCGTGAAGCTTCCTCAAATTACTTAGAGAGTAAAAATGGGATAGCAAGAATCTCCTCAATCTACTATTAAATTACTGCATGTGCATTAAAATACAAAGGAGAAAATGTCAGCACTTGAGCCTTCCAGAAACAGAACCCTCCTCTGCAGTTTTCTCCAGGAGAGGAAAGCACTCAACTGAGCTGCTGCTTATGTATGAGAACAGGTCCCCTTAAACTTTATAGGACATTTGTGGACAATGCAGTACGCAAAAAATATTCCTCCATAGATAACCCTTTAACAAAGTCATTGTTCTGTTATGTGTAGGTAGAACAAACRCGAGAACGAGCAGCATCTAGAGAGAAGGCAGCCCAGTCTAAGGTGTTGGATTTGGAGACCCAGCTGAGTAGGACTAAAACAGAGCTGAACCAGTTGCGCCGGAACAAAGATGATGTGAGTGATTTGCAAGGGATGCTCTTGCTGTCTTGGCAGTGTYCTGGCAACTGCTGGAATTCATAAACCAAGCTCCCATGGGCATGCTGCAGAAGACGCGCAGAGCTTTGTGCTCTTTCTAGATTTGACATGCTGTCATGTGTCCGTGACATGTCTGCTATGTTCCTAACTTGTGAATGTGGAGCCTCATTCTCTTTATTATTTACATTTATTATTTTCTCTTTATTATTTACATTATTTTTGAATTAAATTGCTGTAGACTGAAGAAGGATCTTTCATAATCTCCTGTTTACTGTGCCTTTTTACTTGAGTTTTACTTGGAATTGGGCTAACACATGGATCAGCTCAAGTTCCTCTTTAGAGAAAAGTGTTTTATTCCTCAGTCCTGGAGTTAATCAGTTTAAAAGGCTCAACTGATTAGCTGTGTTGTTTTCTGTTTTTATCAACAGATTGGTGAACGGAGTTGGGGATGAGCAGAACAAATTATAAATGTCATAACAGTGGATGCCACACATTATATAGTGTTAGCTCTTGCTGTCCTCGGCACTCTGGGGAAACAGCTTGAGGTTTTAGTGACTAGGCTGAACACTGCTACCTTTCAGCCTGTGYTTTGTGCTTCTTTCTGCAGGCAGAACGTCGGTACGAAAGCCGCCTGCAAGATTTAAAGGATCGGTTGGAGCAGTCAGAGAGCACCAACCGCAGCATGCAAAACTACGTCCAGTTCCTCAAGTCCTCCTATGCCAACGTTTTTGGAGAAAGTGCCTTGCTGAGCTCCTCCACCCGCTCTCGTTCTTCTCCATGAGCACTGTGCTCTCCCTGCCCCTCTGCTATTAAGCACAAAAGGAACCACATTTCAAAGCCATATCTTATATGGAAAACAGGTTGCCATTTCAGGGTAGGGAGAAATTTTCCTATTTTCCTTGCACCATGAGATGGTAAAAATCATGGTGGTACATGTCCTAAGTGTAGGGCATCAGAGTACTGGTATGGTATTGGACATTGGCATCATGCCATAAACTATGGCCCAAAACCAGATGATTTTGAATATGCAGAAATACCATTTTTATCTTACAAGCTCTTCCTGGTCTCAGCTCTCAAAACCTGGCAACGGTTTTAGTTGAGCATGTCAATGTTTTTTAGAGGTCTTTTCATTTGCATGCATCTTTCTTCATTTCCATGTTAGGGAGATCATGTTTTCTATGTGTGTGTTTTTGTAATTTGTATTATTTTTTACTATTGTACATTGATATAATGGATGGCGGGAGAGGGTCCACCCACCAGAACTGTGAAGATGAAAATAACTTAAGTGCCTGGGCTCTACACTTACAAAAAATTATCTCCTGACAACCACCCTATTTGTAAACGGTTTTATACTAGCAGCAATGAATGTTATTTGCACTTGATTTTGTATGCTCTAATCCTCAACTTTTGTCTCCACTGTGATCTCCATGCACATTAAAGCTTCTAACTTGCTTTATTCCATCCAAACCAATTTCCCTGATCCTGATTACGCCCGGAACGGAGCCAATACTCTCTGAATTCAGAGGAAAGACTCTGGTTTAATCTCAGTGGGAGTTGAATTGGGGTYGCAGCCGATGCCCTGGGAGCTAAGAGCTTGCGTGAATTGCTGGCCTGGGCTTAAGGCAATTTAAGAGCAGCTTTATTTCTGCTCGATTTCTTTGCTGAAGCAGATCCCACCTTTTACTGGAAACCAGGACACTCATGCGATGTCTCCTTAAAGCCCCTGGGCTCTGCAGCGCCCTGTTCCTTCACCATTCTTCCTAGAGGCAGAAGAATAAACATGACTGGTTTTATTTTCATCTCTTCCATATCCTAGTTATGTGTGATGCAGTTGCGGAGCAGTCTTTGCCATAAGGATTTTCTACATTAATCATTATTTGAGAGTTCTGTTACTTTGTGTGCGGGTGTGGAACACTTTATCATTAAATAAAGGTGCTATGGCGCATTGAGTGATAACGACCTGTCCCTGGTGTAACAGAGTGGGGTTTGCCCTTTCTTGGGAGATCTTGGGACAAGCCGAGAAATCAAAAGGGCGCTGGGGAGGCCGGGGAATCCGCCCGGCGTTTCGGCAGCTTCTCCCTGCGCCAGCGGCCCCGGGGCAGCCCCGAACCCGCGGSCCCTCGCGAGCGGCCCCAGGGCGGCCTCGAACCCGCGGCCTAGCGCTCGGGGCGGGGCCTGGCGCCGCCGCCAGGGGCGGGAAGCGGCCGCGGCGGCCCGGAAGGGGAAGGGCGGCGGGAAGGGGATCCCGCCGGCGGGGCGGGAGCCGCCATGGAGCCGCGGCGGCTGCGCTGGGAGACCCTGGCCGCCCTGCGCACCTCCAGCAAGGGCCAGCTCAGCTACTGCCGCCACTGGCTGCACGACGAGGTGAGCGCGCGCGGCGGCGCTGCCCCGYCGGCCCCGCCGAGCCGCGCGGCGGAGGCCGCTCATCCCCCCGTCTCGCCCCCAGGACGTGCTGGAAGGCTGCATGGCGCCCCTCGTGCTCTCCTCCTACTCCGGATGGGTCCTGGACAAGGTGCTCGGGCAGCCGGCGCAGGAGGCGGCGTCTTCCAGGAGCTCGACGCCCAAGGAGCCGGCGCCGCGAGCGGGCCTGTCCCCGGCGCCCGAGGCGGCCGCCTCCCCCGCCGGCCAGCGCGGCCCCTCGCCGCCCGCGAGCGGCCTGAAGGTAGCGGCGGCCCCGGGCGGCTGCTGAGGGCTGCCGGCCCTTCACCCTGTGGGGAAATGGGCTCGGCTCAAGCGCCTCGCTTGGCCAGCAGGCAACAAAGCCGAACATGTCAGGATCGTGCTGTAGGACTGTCTCACACTAGGCCCAAAGTGAACGACTTTTCATTGCAACTAATAAAAACTTGCCCGTTTTGCACAGCTATGTGGCTTGTTGCCATGGGCCTCGTCCGTACGGGAGAATAAGGCCCCRGGGTAGGATCAGGCCTGTTGGGAARGTCCCTGAGTGCCCCTTGGCTTYCCTCCTGCCTCTTCTCTGGAGCCTTTCAGTGATGTAGGGCCGTTATAGCTCTCCTTTATACAGTAAAATGGAAGGAAAACGGGCAGTGAGCTGTTGGTTTGTGAACGTAGAGGTTAATRCAGCAGGTGAAAAGGAAACTATGCATTTTGCTATGTATTAAATGATATTTTAATTCAGTAACAGTTGTGTTGAACCTAAACAGTGAAATTTTGCATCCTTTTGACCCTGTTTAAACTTAAAAATCTTGTGAGATTAACATCTTAATGAAGCAACAAAGCATGGATAGGATAGAGAGGTTCTTCCCAAGCAATAAATGCAAAGCAGAAACCTCTCCTGGCTTCCCTCAGCCTAACACCCTCACTGAGGTTACGGGGAAGACGTGAAGTCTGGTCTGTCAGGGTTACAGTTGCCTTTGTGAATGCCCCGTAGGTTTTTGGTGCCTCTTTGAGGATGCTGAAATTTTGGAGACTTCCCTAATTGCATATATAACTACTCTTGAAGAGTTGTACAGTGGTTGACTCCTTTGTGCAGTTTAAGTGACTTGATTTACCTGTTTTCCCTTGTGAGTCTGGAGTTATATTCAGTCCCTGATTTTGCTCTTACRCTGACTGTGCAGGGAAACGAAGATCTCGGTCTGGTGGATGCAGATCGGGAAAGCTTTCCCAATATTCCGCCGTCCAAAGTTACAGAAGTTGAAGGCTATATTCGGATGTACGAAGAGATGCACAGGTTGAAAGGAAAGGTAAGAAGGARTGAGAGATTCCTGTATGAATCATAGGAAAGGTATAGAATGAAAGTGTAGCAATGCTCTGGTRGAAATAGCAGGATAGTTGTTTGCTCTCTGTAGCTTAGGACAATCACAGATGGGCTGTGGTGGCACACTTAAGGCTATTTAATTTGTATTTCCTTCTGTGCAAATTCTAGTGTTTATTATATYGTCATTTCTGGTACTTCTGCAATCTACAGGAGGAGCTAAGGCAACGTCAGGAGCAGCAAGAGCAGATGGTGAGGGCAGTGTACGACCTGGCGAGYGAACAGCTGAAGCGCTTTGACGAACTGAAGGAGCTGAAGCAACATCAGGAATTCCAGGATCTGCGGGAAGTAATGGAGAAGAGGTGAGATTAGCTCTAAGATGTGGTAGCCTCAAAATATTTTATGACTCTCTTTTTTAGAGATTAATCAAAATGAGTTGATTCCTGGGCCTGATCATGTATCCTAGTCACTGAGCTCAAAAATTTCATCTGCTGCTTTTCTGCTATTACCTATCCTGTTGCTGGTAGTCTTTCAGAGTAGATCTCTGGCTAATTCTGAGGTCTCAGTGCTTAGAGGAAGTCTGTATTTATCTGACACTTAACATTCCTTTAGTTTATCTTAAAAGTAGCTTGCATATATCTGCATTTTGTTTTCTGCATGTCTCGAGTAATCATTTGCTGTTTTTGTGTGTATGTTAGCTCCAAGGAAGCTCAGGGACAGCAAGAGAAGTTGAAAGAAGAACATCGACACAGAGCAAAGGTCTGAGACTTTTAAGAATGGGGCAAGTGCTTAATGGGAACGGGAAAGACTAATTTATACTTCTGTGTATCTGACATCCCTGGAGCGAGATGTATTTTGTGGTGCTCTCCTAGACACCTCCTGCATCACTGTGGAAATACATTTATGGCACGTGCGTTGTAGGAACACAACAGTGGAGCTTTTATCTTTGCAGTAACAGTTATGTTCAAAGTTTGCCCTTGAAACTAGGGCTTTCCTCTCAGTATGTGACCAGTCAAGATGGTCACAGCATAAGGCTTTGTTCTTTAGAGATTAGTTTACTTTAGAGATTAGTTTTCCTTCATTATTTCTGTAACGATAGACTCTTTTCTGTCTTTTGTAAATGCAGTATTCTGATGTCCTCATGAATTTCCCTACAACTTTGTCTATTTTCTTTGAGAGTTACTATGTGTTTTGTGTTATCCTGGCTTCTAGGCTGTCAGATAGTCCAAGATTTCCTCTGCGTCTGCTTTTCCTCTGCTCTGTGGCTCCATGGATGCTACAGGCTGCAAAATTTGCCATTTATACTGTTGCAGGCTCTCTAGTACTTCTATACTGGGAATTCAAACCAGGACTAGTGAAAAGATTATTATATATTTTCTTTCTATATGCAGTTTTTCTTCATGGAAGTAGGAAAGATCTATAAAACTGCAGTTAATAAAATCTTTTGTTCCTGTTGTGTCTTTCTCTTCCCAGGTGTTAAACCTGAAGCTGCGCGAGGCAGAGCAGCAGAGGCAGCGTCAGGAGGAGCTGGAGCGGCTGCGTAAGGAGGAAGGCCAGGAGAGGCTGCGTCGCCTTTATTCCATCCAGGAGGAGCTGCTGCAGCTGAACCAGCAGATTGACCCCAATTATAAACACAAGGACCTGCCAAGGATCGATTTTTCTGTGTACAGTAATCGTGGCAACCAGATCTGTGGGCTGGTGTCAGGACTCATCCGCACTACTAGTGAGGTGAGGGCTGTTTTTAGCTTTGGTTGTTGTTGCTCCTTAAAGTTTCTTGGAGTTGTCTTCAAAGGTATCTTGTTATGAGGCTGTTACATAAGGAGTTTTCAGATGTGCTTCCTGTAAAGCAGCTAACTTCAAAGGAGAGTTCTTTTCCACTACGCTCTAGTAGTTCCCTTTAAAATGGCTTATAAAAATACATAAGGATTTCTACAGGAGGAAAAATGAATATTAAAATAATGTAAACTATTGATGCTGTAGAGTTCTGTTTGGAGACAGCCATGGAATTAAGGTGGTTTTAAATTGTTCAAGAGAAGTACTGAGTGCTGTGACACTGCTATACTTGGAAGCTTTTCCCAGTAATTGGGTTTCCTTGACAATTCTTCTCTGTGTAAAAATGGAACACAGCACTTAAAAATTAAGAAACTCTAATAAGGTTAATCATCTATCCCAGTGAGTCGCAGCTGTCTCCCTGCAGAGGAGGCAGTCTGGAATTTGCACTGAGGTTCCATTATGTATGTTAAAGGCTGCTACCCATTTTTGTCATCTTACAAGGATTAGCTGTGGACTAAGACCCAATTATCATTTTCTTTGTATATAAATAAATGAGAAAAAGACCTTTTCGCCAAAGATGATAAAATGTATAGTTGGTTCCTGGACTCCCTAAAGGCTAATGCTTTGAAAGCTCTTTGCTTTTACTCTTGGTCTATGGATAGGGCTAAAGGTTTTTATGTTGCCTTTTCTGTTTCGTGACAGAGAGGCTTCCCTACTCAAGCAGATGTGGCCAATACTGAACGAGCACTGCAGGAAATGCGAGGGTTGATATCTAGCATGCAGCAAGAAATTGCTGCAGCTGTGGAAGAAAAAAAGAGGAAAGATGAAGAGGAGCAGAGAGAGAAGCAGAAAGAGTTACTGAAAAAGGAGCAGATGACGATCCAGGCTCCTGTCCCTGCACAGCAATCAGGGGAAAAGCAGCAGAAGGAAGGTAGGTGAAGGTCTCCCTCTTTCTTTTCCATTCCCTCCTTATTTACACACTGTTTTGCTGTTAGGCCAACTACTACTCAAGAATATTATTGTTGTGATGACATAGCTTCTGGTAGCCCACGTTTTTAGCAGAGGCAGCAAAATGGGTATGGGACTGCTGGCAGCAAACTTCATCAAGGAAACTGGTGCAGCATAAATGACTGTTAACTGGAACAAAAGCTGTTCTTCCTAGGCAGTATGCAGCGTGGTAGAATGTGGCTTCTGACAAATGTAGATCGATCTCTGTGGTACCACAACATACAGGGACAGATCACTGAAATAGCTTCTTTTTTGGTCATAATTTAAGTCCAGAAATCCTATGTATATAAGCTGTAGGCTGAAAAACAGGGACTTCTGTATAGCTTACAAAGATATAATTAGTTTATAACCACAATTTTCTAAACTGAATTCTGGAGGGGGGAAAAAAATATGCTTGTAGCTGTTGCTTCTTTGAAACTTTCTTTTAGGCTTTCTAGGGTTCTGGGACTTTCTTAATGTTCTGGCATTTCTTTTTCAATACTAGGACTTCAAGTTAAAGCAGACGAAAGTACCATGCAGTGGTATCAGCAGCTTCAGGATGCTGCTGACCAGTGCATCGCTTCCTTCAGCACAATCAGCAACTGCAAGGACAACCATGAGGTATGAATAAATGGAAATGCTGTTAAGAGTGGTAAATATAACTTGTGGAAGCAGCACAGCTTTCATTAAAAACAGAAGGGTGACATTTCTGACTTACAAACTTTTGTTAATAGTCTGCTCTCTCAAACTGTCAAAATAATAATCAAGTAGAAATGCTTCAACTGTCAAAAAAAATTCTTTAAGAGGGTGAGCATACTTTCCAAAAGGTGCTGTTGAGCACAATTGTATTCTGTTTAGGGGATTTAAAACTGTAGAAGACGAGTGATCTGATTGGGCTGCTATAGAGTCTTGAAAAACAATGGTGTGTGCTACCTTTAGCGAAATACTTTTCAGAACTACTTTGTTTCCCTTTTTTTCATTCATAATTCATCCTTTGTGGGATTTCTTTTTGACAGTTTGGTTTATTGAAGCCTTTGTGTTGACAGAAGAGTGTTAAACAGTGGGTTCTGAACAGGCATTGTCTTATTGTTTCTTATCTTAGTGTTTCTTAGATTAATTTATCATACATTCCACAGCAGAATAATCAGCATTCATTGAAGGCTTGAACATTTATTCAGAATGCAACTAAAACAAAACCTGTTAGATACTGCACATCCAGTCTTATTCTCCTAGCTCATCACATATTTGAAGATGCAGTAGATTTTCCTTGAGGCAAAACTAATTTACCTGTCTCCTTTTATCCTTTTGGAGACTTAAAAATTAGGTGTAAACAGATTTGCAAGAACCTGGCCTCTGCTTGTCTCCAAGAGGGTTTTGTACTCGTTATGTTGCAGGTCTTCAAAGTACAAAAAAATGTTAAATTAACAGTTAGCTATTCCAGAGTGAACATCTAGACCTCAGTTCCATGAGGAATAGACTTTGTGGTTTATTTTGTGTAAGTTTAATTCCTCTAAAGATCAAGCAGGATTTAGGGCTGCATTTTTCTTTTCAGAATTTGGCCCACAAAGGCATGTATTGTCCTTGTGAAAGTCCACCTCTTGGTGAGGACTCTTGTCTATAAAGTTTTCAACAGCATTGTATGTTCTTCTGCAGGTGAAGAAGATTAAAATGGATTTGCAGAAAGCAGCTACCATCCCTGTGAGCCAGATCTCTAGTATAGCAGGTCAGGAAAACGCCAAGAATTGAATCCATTTGAGRTGCAGTTTCCTGTAATCAGTTTAGCAGGACCAATGTAGCCAGTATTTCTGTATTATGCCTGCAACCCTATACTCTAGTATACCTGCAATTCAAGCCTTTGCAGCATAATGTTTGCTTATGGTTTGAAGGTCTGGTGCCTCCCTTGGAGGCATCTTGCTTCGTCRTGATTTAGTTTCTTTGATGAGATGCAGCAAAGAAGCTCTCTGGGTGCCCTGCCCTTCGGGATGTTGGTCTAGCTTTTATGAAGCTGATGTGGTCTGCCTAAGGCTTGGCAGCTGTTTCCTAATTTTCTGTCTCTCTGCGTTTTTGATGTATTCACAGGCTCTCAACTGAGAGAGATATTTGACAAGATCAATAACCTGCTYTCTGGAAAGTCTGTTCAGAGTGGAGGGCGAACTGTATCCGTGACTCAGCATCCACAGGGTCTGGATTTTGTTCATTACAAACTTGCAGAGAAATTTGTGGTGAGTAATTACTCTCTTTATTGGGGTGATGGTATTGTCCTGTCTCTTACTGCTAAGAGCAAAATCACTAGGAATTTAGTTTGCAGGTATTAATAATGCTCATATTGATTAGAGAAAATGTTTTTTGGATAAAGAAATGACAGAACATTTTTTCTCTTCTATGACCCTCTTTCAGCTTTTCTCTCCCTCTGCCCTGCTTCAACTTTTCTAAAGCAGAGCTATTCTAAATGCCAGGGTTATATGATACATATTCTTAAATAGTTAGGTTTCTACTGTTAGTACAAAACTGGTAGTTATTGGCAGAATTGGGGAGGAAAAACATGGCTGTGCTCCAACAAGAAAGCTTCAGTCCCTGATGTGTAAGTTAGCACCTCCCAAAAAAGAAATTGTCGTTGTTTGAACTGTTTTCTTGAAGGTGACACTATTTCTTTCTATTATTTTTTGCTGCCTTTGGACTGTTTAAAACTTACTTGGGCCATGTTCTTGCATTGACAAAAATATATGCAAAAATTAGCTCACAGAATCAAAAAGGGGTTGGTTTGTAAACATTTGAAAATAACTGGAACAAAAAGATCTGTGGAGTCTCATACTTTGTGCCTGTAGTTGTGCCTGAGCAGACATTTATTGACATCCTTCCCCTTGACAGGCTTTATTAGCCTTTCAGTTGGTGGCTATATAATCATGGAGCTTCTACTAGAGGCTAAATAGGAAATTTWAAAAAATTTCTCTGAGAAATGGTTTGAAGGGATAAAGACTGACTTTTCCCTCCCCTTTTCTCCAGAATCAAGGAGAAGAAGAAGTAGCTTCTCACCATGAGGCAGCTTTCCCCATTGCTGTGGTGGCTTCAGGAATCTGGGAAATACACCCTCAAGTCGGAGACCTCATTTTAGCCCATCTACACAAAAAGTGCCCCTACTCTGTGCCATTTTACCCAGCATTCAAAGATGGGACTTCCTTGGAAGATTATCAGAGGTAACTTTCTTAAGAGGGTCCTTTCACATGAACTCTGCAAGGGCAAAGACTGTGTTCTCCTGAGTGAACTCCACTTTTCCCCATCTTTAATTACTTAGGCACAGTGGCATGCTGGCATAGACTGGAGATTTACTCACAAGAGTGCAGCTCCCCTGTGTCCTTCAGCTGGAAGTGGTTTTAGGGGTAATGGATGCTCTTTTATTTTCTCTTCCTTATCCCTGTCAAAGAACAATCCATACCCATAGAAACAGCTTGATTCAAGTTGAAGTGCCCAGTACAGAATCTGAAGATTCTGGTATGATATAAAATAGTGGAATGTATGARCCAGAGTGAGCAACCTTTGCAATAATTCTTGCATGGTTCTGGAGAATTCTTATGTGCAGTATGACTGACAATGTAAGTTGAGAACTTTAGGGACATGAGTGAATATGTTTTGCTTTACTAATACTGGCACATTTCTTTAATGCTTAGGATGCTTGGATATCAAGTTAAGGATTCCAAGATAGAACAGCAGGATAACTTCCTTAAACGGATGTCAGGAATGATTCGTCTTTATGCTGCTATCATTCAACTGCGGTGGCCTTATGGAAACAGACAAGGGGTATGTAATTGTGTAACTTCTTTACTTTTAAATGCATTGTAAACATGATTTGCAGGTGAAGTGTGGTAAACTTAAACCCGCTGACAGCATGCCCACAGGGCAGTGAATGTTACCATTACCAAAAAAGCAATGCAAAAGCTTGCAGGTGTGTCRTGTAGACCTTTACTTCCTTTATATTTTTCATAATAATCAAGTTTTATGTAAGGCTATTGTGAAATAACTTCATGAAAGAAAAAAAAAAAGGATTTTTTCTGTTTTGATAGTAGCCTTTTGCAACTTACAAAACAAGTGACAGGTGGATTTTTGTTCCTTTATAGACCCATCCTCATGGTTTGAACCATGGATGGCGGTGGCTTGCTCAGATGTTGAACATGGAGCCTCTGGCAGATGTGACAGCTACACTTCTGTTTGATTTTCTGGAGGTAAATGATGTCCTAACATGAGCCTGCTTAGCAGCTGCAGAGCACTGAAAAGTGGGCACAAGTAAACAAGGTGACAGGAGGAAATACATATGGGGAAATGAAATCTGAGGTAGTCTAACTTGAACCTGTAAATGTTCCTGTATGTTGTACACTGTATGGAGACTGCAGTGGTCAAGATGGGGAAACAACCACAGTATGTGCTAGCAAATGGTGTTAAGGAAGACTTGTTTTTGAATGGAGGCTGGAGTTGAGAGGAAAAGTAAGGTAAAATTGGTGTAAGTGAGCTTTGTGGAGTCAATAAAAAGATAAGGCCACTGCATTAATAATATTGTAATTTACAGGCTTTGCTTGCTTTATGGTGGGAATAGGTGTGTTTTTAATTTTATCCAGGCATTTTAAAACCTAGGTGGTTGCCATTGAGCAGGTCTGTTGAAGTTGTCTTGCTGCTCTGGGAGCCATTCTGCATCTGGTGTGTGTGGATTTCTCTACCGTAGGTGTGTGGCAACGCCCTCATGAAGCAGTATCAGGTCCAGTTTTGGAAAATGATGTTGCTTATCCGAGAAGACTATTTCCCAAGGTATGATATCTGTTGTGAGGAGAGTGAATGATCTTTTTCTTTCTTATTGCATTTGCTTTTAAGTGTCTCTTCTGCCTTCCCCAGGCTCTGCCATCCCTCCCACCCACCCGTATAAATTAAACCTGAGTTTCTAAGTACCTTTTGGAACATGCTGATCTTTTTTGCAGGATTGAAGCAATTACCAGCTCTGGACAAATGGGCTCCTTAATGCGTTTCAAGCAGTTCTTGGAGGTAAAGCAATTTTTAAAAATCTTCCAAGCTTTGCTTTTTTTTTTTTTTTTTTTTTTTTTTTTTTTTTTTTTTTTTTTCTCTTTGGCGTGTGCCCCATTTCAGTAATGAGGCCAGTACTGCTTGCAGCATACCTGACAGTCCAGACCTGTGACTGTGATGTAACCTTTTTTTTAATGACTTTTTGGCTGTGAGTTCACTTAATCTTGATGGCAATTATTGTATCCTACTTCTCCTACATCTCCTTTCTTTCTGCCTCTTGTGTAATTTTCTCAGTGTGAGCTGRTTGCAGTGAGAGGAGACAAAGATGGAGAAAGATTCTGCTGAGTCATTTCTGTAACAGCTTATTTTCGTCAGAAAATGATGCTTGTTTTCGTGCTCTCCATTCTGGCTAGGGGTAAAACGAAGTWGGCATTTTCAGCTGCTTTTTGTAGCCTTTATGTAACACTGCGTTCTACAGAGATCTCAGAAAAATATTTAGTAATGAAAAAAATCTTTACACTTACATTTTACTGTTTCCATGTTGATCGGTATAGGGATTTCTAGCATAATTTCATATTGTTTGAAATTGCTAATGCTATTTCTAAGATGCATTCTTTTTTTTTTTTTTTTTTCCTTTTCTTTCCTGTCCCTGTCTGGCCAGAAATGTCTTCATCAGAAGGAAATTCCRTTACCGAAGGGCTCTCTGCAACCTTCCTTTTGGAGGTCATAAATCAGTTCAAGTTTCTTCCTCCCCGGGTGTTGGCACTTTCAGACCTGGCTTCTTGTTTATACAGAGGGACAAGACAAAGTTATGTGTATTTAGAGAGAAGGTGAGAGTATGTTCAGTCAATATGTTGGCATTTATTTCATCAAGTTTTAATGTTGGCAGAATATCARTAACTCTTTGTGGAAAATAATTGCAAGTTATCCTTTATTTTTAGACTAGTATAATGTTTTGTACAGTAAATTATGGAAAATAGAAGATTTTTTCCTTCATATATTTAAACATGTGGAAGATGGATTAAATACAGAATTACAATTTCTTTCTCTGTTAGGCTTCAGAATCTAGAGACTCTTTTGGAATGAAATTTTGCTCAGTGTGTTTCTGTTCATGAAAGTGGAAATACCTCAGGGCCTTATGAAGTCTTAAAACAAAAATCAATCTCAGAAACTTACTGGCAAAACTTTATTTTTGTATGTAATGTCTAGTTTTTATAACTYGGTTTACATATATGTTGCAGCAACATCTTAAAGCTACAGAGATTGGTAAAGGTATTTGACCAAAATGTGTGACTGTCACTTCTGTTGAATGTATCTTTGCTCCAAGAGGCAATGTACTTAATTTGAGAAAGATAGATAAGCTATTTTAAAAAGTTCACATGTATAATAACTTTGTGAGGGAAGAGCAGAGTTCCTAAAATTGCAGAAATTSTGCATTCCTTATCCATCATGTGGATGGAAGCTAATAATCCATTTTATTAAATAAAAACTGGGGAAACTGCCCGTGTTCTGTCATTTCTACATTACTCGTGTTCTGCTGTTTGAGGTGGAAATTGTATGTCTGAGTTGCCTAAAATGAAGTACTTAATAGTTTCAGAATGGCTTTCTTACGTAAGGGATTTATTCTTTATCAGTGTTACAACAACATTTTGTGTGTCAATTACTGTAATACTTTTCTACCAGTGGTGAATTATTCTGAAAATAGTTTATTCTAAAAATATGTTTAATGCTAAGTTTGATTTTTAACCTTAGGGTGATGCAGATTGTGTGTGTGTTTGTTTTCTGCAGCTATTAAAGATGGAGGTGAACAAAAATCTGTGGCTCACTGGTGAATACAGAATATAGGTAGTGTGGAGAAGAGGGTGGAGGGAGTTAAATTAAATTTGTGTTTAATTTATGGATGAACTAGCTGTGAACTACTTCGATAGCCCCCAAGACGTAAAAATTGACTTATAGGTTCTAGAAGTCAGTTCTCATAGGTTCTAGAAGTCAGTTCTCATTTTAGAAAAAAAACAGAATCTCTTGCAAGTTAGAATTATATTTGCTATCTATTTATTTGTTTTTGTCAAATGCATTTTGTAAGTACTAGGGATTTTGCAATTTGAAGCTGTAGAAATTGTGGGCCATCTGAGAATCTCATTTCACTTTTGATACAGGGTTTGGAGTCTCTGAGAAAAAGTTAGGACATATGTACTAAAGAATTCAGACCTTGAAAACCTGAAACCATAGGAAGTTGCTCAAATTTAAAATTGGCAAAATTAATTTATAATAATGTCTCTATTTTGTAAACTGACTCAGCAATTCATTAGAAGAGCGTTACTGCTGATCCTTTTGGGATGCTGGAAATGTCCTTCTGTTAGTCTTCTGTTGTTCTTTTACCAGCTAGTACTTCAGCAGGACAACTTCCCTTAATATCCTTGAAAATTTGCAGCTCACTCTTAAATGCATCTTAGATATCTACCGTTTTGTTGGCGATTTTACTGAACTGAGATAATAATTGGTGCTGTCTGTTATAAACAATTGTCTGCCTGTTCCAAACACAAGCAACATGATTTGATCATATACGAGACACAATAGCTTTCTTCTTTCACACTTAGAGCTATGTGAGGCTTGTTACATTTTGGGGGGGAATGTAAGTATGTATTTTTATGAGTAACATGAGCACAATGTCCTCTGCCTCTCTAAGGGATACGAATACATTGCTTCAAGTTCTTTAAGAATTTCTAATCAAGTAACGAATGGGGTTGCTAAAAGATCCTAATAACAGTATTTTTAGATGTAGCTTAGGGTTGTATCGAGTGCTTGAAGTGATGCTTGGCTCATGTTGCTGCTTTTTGTCATTTTAGCGGCTTTGAATAGGGGCCATCAGGCAGCAGGAGGATGCGATGCACTCAGGGTTGTACGCATGCCTGCCTTATGGTGATCTTCAAGGCAAATAGCGCAGGAGCGTCTTGGACCTGGAAAAAAACACTGGATTCGGGAGCAGATGCATTAAAACTGCTCTGACTCATCCCTCGCCTTAGAGACGATATTCCCCGGCAGTCCTACGGCTTCTGATGCAATGGCAATGGAAGGGAGTTTCTTCCCTTTAAGTCCTTGAATAAAAGAAGTGTTATTGACTAAAAATGACTAAAACTCCCTTACGGTGCTGGGTCCCATGGAGCTATTATTCTAGCCGTTTTACTGGGCCTTTAAAAAACATTTTAGAAGGGGGACAGTGAAAACCTAGTTGTGGGTGACTATTTTAACAGCTGCAGTATGGTAAAGGCTTATTTTCTTTGGAGCCTATGCAACAGCTTTTAAAAAGAGATATATTTTGCATGGTGGAAGCATTTACCCCCTCCTGATGTTCTTCCTTTATCGGGCTTGTCAGTTTGACAGGGTGTTGGTTTAAAAAGGAACTCTTCTTGAGTTCTCTGTATGTGCATATTCCTATGCACTTTATATAAAGATGAAGCGGAGGAGGCTGCTGCTTTATGCACATAGTCGAGGGCTGGCTTATGGAGGTGCGGTCTTCTTGTGTTGCCATCAGCTAAATTTTTCATGGGCTGAAAAATGAACCTGCTTCTGGGGGGAAATAAAAAGGAAATTCTGGGGGGAAAATAAAAAGGAAACAGTTTCCACGCAGCTGTGCCCTTTTAACCGATTTTTCTAGATGCTACCTTAAATTTAGGTTTTTCAACGTGGGAATTTGCAGGGGCTGCAGCTGGTCCCCCCGCGCCGGCTTCACCCCGCATCACCCGTCATCGCCCTTCGGCTCTTTCCGGAATCGCTCGGTTCTTTCCGGAACGCCTCGGCTCTCTCCGTCAAGCAGGCGCCGGCCGCCGCCTGCGGCGCTTCGTGCGTTCGGCGGCCGAGCCCGGATAGGCGGGGCTCTCCCCTCGCCCCGCCCCCCCGCCGCCACCGATCCTTTCCGAAGCCCTTAGGCCCGTTCCGCCAGTTGGGAGACCGTTCTGCGGCGCTGACGTCACCTCCGGGYAGACTATAAAAGGGCCGTCGCGGGCGGCGCGCCGGGGCCGTAGCGGAGGGGCGGCGGGCGCGGAGCTGGCGGGGCAGGACCCTTCG